CTAAAACTATACTCCACACGCCTGTTTCCATGCAGCTCAAGTCCAGCAGAAACCCACACGGGTAATTATTTGGAGAAATCTTAGTGGGAACTCTTTGAGTAGTGTCACTTGCCAAAGGGTTTGGAAATCTTGGCTGAGCCCAAAACCAGAAAGCCATGAAGGAGTGACTGAGAGGTTTCATACTCAAAAGTACAAGCATCAAGGCCTTGGGAGCCCCAAGCCCCAGTGAAGGGGACAAGGAAATGTGACCAAAGGCAGCACAAGAATCAGTAATACCACTGTCACTAACCAGAATACTGGGCTCCCGACACCATCGCAGGGCAAAACCTTGCCTAAAGTGAAATGATGTATGAACTACCTTTGTGAGGAGAAGACAAAAGCTCAACTTGGCACTAAGAGTGCCTAGGGCAGAGCAGCACCAGCGATTCTCCCCCACATTTTCCAGGCTGAGCAGTCCTTTAGTCACTCAATGTACAGAAATTGCTATCAAACGATATTTGATTTTTGTTAATGGTAAAACTGTTTTTCTTGGCACTTTCTCTAGCTCTGTTAAATCTATTTAGAGACAAGAGAGGTTAGAACTGCACACAATATTCAAAAAGTGAGCATGAGAATGATGTCCGCAGTGCTGCTTTGTCACCACTTATTTCCATAATACTTTTTCCACGTTATTTGCTTTTCTGACCACCCCAAAGCTTTGAGCTGGTGTTCACAGAACTGGAACAATTCTGAGGCGACTTTCATCAGTGTCAAGAGTCGCATCCCATTTAAACTTCACACTCACAGGTGCACCCAAGTAAAATCAGAACAGGATAAAAAAAAAATCAAATTACAGGATGCCAACCTTATGCAACTGGAAATTTAGAGGTACAGAGTATCTGCAATCTTAATGAACCAGTGTAAAAGAACTGGTGGAATCAAAAGGCTGGCTTATGATGATAAAAAGGCAACGTAACTCATTTTGCTGATACACCTGGTATGTGAAAGCAATTACTGACAGGCACTGCCAGGATTCAGTGTAAAATTCTTAATAACAAAACTTTTGGTTCTATAGACCGTTCAGTTTCCACATGGCCATAAAGTAATTCATACAAAACTTCAGCTGTAAGCAAGCCAAGGGAAAGCTAAACCCGCATGGCAATGGTCTTCTCTCATTTCCAGATACCGTCAAAGGAACAATGGGAAAGACTTACAAAGGATCCTAAACTGGAGCCTGGGAAATGGAATTCAACAAAACACAGGAATGTGTGTCCACACAGACCCAAAGCTCTATGTAAGGACTGGGTAACACCTGCCACGCTCGGCATCTCTGCAGAGTTCTTACCACCTTATTCTAAGGCAAAAGGATTTCAGAGAAAACTGAGAATGTACTTGTGAAAGCAGGCAACTCGCATGCCTTGCTCTCTTCCAGGAACAAGGAGGTACTGACGCCTGACCTGCTAGTGACAATCTTTATTACTTAAGGGAGGGCAACCTTTAAGCTCTTGTCCTAAGAGAAAAAAGATGCTGGTTAATACTGGGGAAAGATAAAGGCCAGCATGGCTTAAAGCGTATACAAACACGAGTGATTAGCCAGATGTACTCTTGGCCAAGAGGGAGCTATTCATCCTTCCTATGGGAAGATAAGCAGTACTGCAGACCTACCAAAAAAAAAAAATTAACCTTCATTCCATTTGCAGTCACTGTGAACACAGCAAATACTGACCAGAAAGCACAGGAGCAAGTCACAGCATACTTTTAGACAGCTCACCAGGAAATGCTCACAGGGCCTCTGATGTGAGTTAAATTATCTCCAGCATCGCCTGCACAATAAAGTCTTTCTTTACTCTGCAAGTCACCTGCAAAACTCTTGGTTTTAATCAGATTAAAGTACCCCATTCCCCTGCAACACTGAAAGTACTTCTTACCCTCTCTGAAAATCTCCTCCTGTTCCACTTCTTCTGCATCGCTTACATCTAGGTCTTCAATTATATGGGACACAACTTCTCTCAAAGACATGCTGAAAGAGCTCTTGGGCTTTAGAGTGACCGAGGATCCCAAACGTTTACCTGACTCTCCGGAGGGCAAAGAGGACCTATTAACAGCTAGAAATGGAGAGCATTAATGGGCCGGTAGTATCTTTTTCAACTTTCTTTTAGTTTTCCTCTGAAGTAAAAAAACAGCCAAGCAGAGAGAGGAATCCACACAAGAAACTGATCTTCCTTTACTTAAAACAAAGTGAACTCCCTGAGTTGTATCTTAGGAACCATTTGGAAAAGCCCTTGCAACTATTTTTCAGTTCACACTGAGAAGCAACATTGCCATCAGCTACCTTTGGTAAAACAGAACTACTTAACCCTTAACTTTTGTCATTAGTGCCTTACAAATTCCAGCATCTTTAAGATACGCTCTCACTCCCCCTCCTCTTCCTCTCATTTGATGCAGTCCCCTGTTCCATGTGCTCCACACTCTTCTCCACATTATCTCTCCATTTGTCCTCAAAGTGCCTGCCATGGGTCTCTTCAGAGCAACTAACCTTTTCTGGTTCGTCTCTTCCCTTGGCCTTTCAAAACAACTTTTCCCACCAAGCTTGCCACAGACAACCCTCCAGAAGCAGAATATGGTGCAACAATCCACCAGGCAGTCGTTAATTTCTAAGCTTTCCATGGCAAGAACTCTTCTCCTGGCTTGAGCAGTACTGAATGCACCAACCATTCTTTAAACACCCTTTCTGTGGTGCTTTTGGCAAAGGACCATAAAAAAAACTCAATTAAAAAAGAAACATTAGCTGTCCATACCTCATGGAAAGCAGAGGGAGTTTTGATCGAAGAAGTGCACGAAGCCATTTCCTACAGCAGATCCTGCCCTGGCAGCTGCCCCAGGGTCACTAAACAGAAAACTTACAGCCACGCCTCAGGGCTGGCCTGGGTAACACGAGGAAAATGTGCTCCCATGGACAAGGTATCTGGAGGGAAACGGGTGCAGAAGAGATACCAAACACCAGGGAAAAACTGGCAAGTGACAGGACTTGCAAAGCATTGGTGCGGAGTGAGCAGGGAGGTGACCACTTCTGGCCGAGGGATTTTTAAGGCCCTGGACACAGCAAAGCGGTTAGCTGCAACACATAAATGACCGTACTGGGGCAAGGTCTAGACTAGCAGTCTACAATTCCTACGGATTATCTCCTTATCTCACCATATTTGTGACCAATCTACAGTGCCCACTTCTGGGTTCCCCAGTATAAGAGCGAGATGGAATGAGAGAGAGTCCAGCCCAGGGCCACCAGGACATTAGAGGGCCTGGAGCATCTCTCCAAGGAGGAAAGGTGGAAAGAGCCGGGACTGTTCAGCCTGGAGAAGAGAAGGCTCAGGGGGGATCTCATCAAGATACGCAAGCAGCTGAAGGGAGGGTGCAAAGCAGATGGAGGCAGGCTTTTTTGAGTGGTGCCCAGCGCCTGGAGAAGAGGCAACAAGCACAGACTGGAACACAGGAGGCTCTGTCTGAACATCAGGAAACATTTCTTTCACTGTGAGGGTTACTGAGCAACAGGTTGCCCTGAGTTTGCAGCCTCCATCCTTAGAGACATGTAAAAGCCACCTGGACACAGACCTGGGCAACTTGCTCCAGGTGGCAAGAAAGATGACCTCCAGAGGTCCCTTCCAACCTCACTCAGTCTGTGATTTCAGGTAATACCTGCTACACCCCAAGTCCTAACTCATAGTACTCACTGCCAGCCACCACCTCTTCTGAGACAGAAAGCTGTTCCATTGGGTCGCTCTGCTGGGAATGATCCTGCTGATCTTCTCGCTCGTTTGCAGGTGTTCTTGGAGACACATGAGTCATTCTGTCAACATGCTCATGATCAAGGATTAAGTCCTCAGAATATCTTTGGGTCTTTCCCTCATTTGTGCCCACACTGGATACCAGGCCCGCCAGCCTTACTTCCTCTTGAGCTGCATGAGAAATCTTGCTTCTCCGTGCTGGAGTTCCAAGAGCAGAAAGCTTATTTTGGCTCTGTTCATCAAACTGAGGCTGAACAAAGAGCTCGGTGTTACTCAGCATGATTTCCGCATCACTTGTCAGCGTGGCTGCTTGAATCCCAGATGCTGGTTGTGAGTCCACAAGATCGTTCTGTGCTGTTCAGATAAAGTTGTTTTAAAACAAGTTTTATGTGAAAAACTGTTCAAGGTCATGGCAACACGCATCTATTACCAGGACCTGCTTAAGTCAAAGCATGAATTTAAGTCATTCAACACAGTTTTACTCATCCTCCACAGACCAGGCACTGAACCTGTATCATCACACTTCAGCACCCCTAACTTTCTCTACCAGACCATCTCCCCAGTACCCACCGTTACGAACACGATCCCAAACAATTCTTGTGGTATAAATCACCAAACTGGCTGGAGCAGGTATTTAGTGCACAGAATCAAATCACCTAGAGATGCAAAGCCTCACTGTAATTTTGATTCTCAAATTACACTGGATTTCTGTGAACGTGCTAGGAGACTTTAAATGGTAAAATACAGACCACACTTCAGTCACTGCTTCTAGAAGCCACCGTATATAAGGCCCTCCCCCCCAAAACAGAAGTAACAACACAAAAGAAACCTTTTCTCTTCAGTACATTCTGTTCCACTCTGCCTTCAAAAGCTTCCACGTCAATTGCTTTGCGATTTTTTGGCCTCCGGAGCAAGCCTCTCTTTTCAACTGTGTCTGGTGGGATCAAGGAACCAAGAGACATGCGAAGAGATCTGTAAAAAGAGGAGGGAATAAATAATTCTCCAAACTTACACACTCCCCTTTTACTTGAGACATTTCACAAATCCCTTAGCTAGGAGAAATTTCCCCCAAAAAATCCTTGCAGATTACATGCCTGTCTACTTTAAAGAAATAGTTTAATTTAATGATACCACCTAACACCAGGATATGTATCACAGAGATCAGGAAACAGACTGCTTTACAGCCTCCTACCTCGAGAGGGCTGCAACCATATATCTGACCAAAGGTTCAGGAATTTAAAAAATTTTCAATAACAAAGAAAAGGGAAAAATGTTTGAGAGTAAAGATGTCCTCTTGATGACAGCAGGGTGGCAGGAGGACTTCAGAATGAGTCTAAGAAGCTGCTTAGTATCAGTATTCACAGCCCAGCGCAGCTACCAGCACACTGTAACTTGCTGGAGATGGGAGCTAAGATAGAAACACGCAAAGCATTGGAAAAGATGTATCTCACTGTACATATTTTGCATCCTAAAGAGACTGGCCGCACTTAGCTACCTCCTGTCCCTCTCCCTAGGCAGCTCAATTGAAAAGCGGGGTTCAGGGGATTCAAGAAGTCAGGAAGCACAGAACACAGCCCTACGAATCACTCTGCATGGGACCACAGGCAAGGGCTGCAAAGAGAAAGGTGAAATAGTAGGAATACAAGCTAGACCAACCTGGGCATACAGTGCAGAGCCACAATTTCTGAAAAATCACAAGGTACGTGGTGTAACACCGTCAAAGTCCATCACCAGAGTGAGATGACTGTGTTATCACAGGTCTTAATCATGAACCCAGGTATCTATACTGATCTTCACAACTACAGAGCTGAGGAATCAAGGCAGCTATAGTTTGGGTAGACAGAATTTAAGACATCGTAGTTTAAACTCACCGAGCCAAAGTGCTGTCCAACATTGACTGAGCTAGAAAAAAAATTGTGACACATTAGTTGAGAAATTACGCTGAGAAATTACCCTCTACACAACAGGCTACAGGAACGGCCCAGTGGATCACCCTCTTTGTAGAGCTGGTGATGCTATAATCTTCAAAAGTTACATTTTGGTGAGAACAGAATTAGATGACAGGTTCACTTTACAACTTCTTGTCTGCGCTTCAGAACCGAGTATGAGAATTCTAATAAGCAATTTCTGAAAGGGTAATAAAACAGTTATTTCAAACAAAATTTAAAATGGCACATGCCCTCACACTCAATATTAATCTTACCACGTCAATAGCAAGATGCCAGGCTAGGGCCTCAGCCACAACCACCCTTCAGCAACCCAAACCAAACATTAAAGCACCTGGAAGCTTTAGAATTACAGATAACTACTCCACAGGCAAAACTGTAACTCAAATCTGCTCTACTCACAAAGTCACAAAAATCCAAAAGCAGATCTGGAGAGCAGTGACACAACATAAGTAACACAGGATCCGTGACATAGCCACGCTCATACTAGCAAACCCTGGAGCATGCCCCCTCTGCTTTTACAGAGCTGCTCACATCTCATCAGAACATTTTCAGACCAGGTACCAGGCTAACGACAAGTCGTTTTTTTGACGACAGGTGAGTCGGGGGGGATTCAGCTCCAGATTAAAACATTCACACACAGGTGTCTATGTCCCCATCACAGTCAAGCACAATTAATCAGATGTAGGTGTCCACTTTCGGGTGGATCAGCCTCCATACTCCACCAACTAGATCTTGCCTAAAGGAGAGGACATCAGTTACCCAGTGTAAACACAGACACAGAGTGTCTCCAAGTCAGAGCAAGGTACTGGGGGCTGTGATTCGGACCCAAATCCCACCCTTGAATTCTCCTCCAGTTGCTACCGAACCAAGGTGAGGTGGTTTATCTGCCTCTATTAAACTGCAACCAAAATGAAAGTTGTATTTACCAAATTTGCAAATTTATGTTTAAAAGGGAAGACTTATTCCAATACAAAACATTATTTCTTTTATAAAACTACAAGACCCCCCTCTTTCTCAAACAAGAACTTTATAACTTGACATAAATGCAACAAAAAGTACGCAGCCTGTTCCATTTTCAAGTTTCTGGAATTGAGGGGAAAACAGGGATTGCTCCCTTTGGAGACACTTCTAAACTCCAAGAACACCAAACTGGAAAAACAGTCAAGAGGTCATATACAGTCAGGGCAGAGCCTTGGCTCAAAAAGGCTTATTTTAAATTTGATAGGAGGAGGTTTTACCACCTCTGCCCTCCCCTTAGGACAAGATACTGCAGTCTTGCTTCCAAACCTACAACTGCCCAGCTGAGAAACTACTAAGAAGTAAACTGTAGCAGATGAGAATCAGTTGACGGCAAATGCAGCGCTGAACAAGGTAATTTCGGACTGCAGCCTTACCTTGGTGCTGGGGAAGTCGTTTGTCTGCTGCTCTCTCAAATTCAGAAATCCTGAGTTTCTTTCTCTTCTTAGTCATACGGAACGCGGTGACAGGTGTGCCCTCAGGAGCAAGGTCGGGCAGCTGCATTTCCACCCTACCAATACAAACCAAGCCTTAAGAAAGGACAACGTTATCACTTAGCTACCCTAGAAAAGTCCCTGTAACATCACTGAAAAGCAAATTGAAATTATTTGTCCTGCCTGCAGCAGAAGTAAGGAACTAATTGATGATTAGCTCAGCAAATGTAGGAACATGTCATTCCTTCCTACTTAACCAAAGTACATTTCACAAAGAGAATCACAACTCGAGTATACATTCAACACAACACAATTGAGAAAGGTCAGACTGGAGGAAAAGCTTGGACTTCCAATGAGTCCCATCGCTCTCTGCTCCTAGCAGCACACAGAAGCATCTAGGTCTGCCAGCTACTCCAGCGTAAATGAAAAAGCCATCACCATGAAACATTAGGTACCATATAATATCCCAGTCAGGCACTGGATCAGGATCAGAAAATAAGCCTGAGGTTTTTTTTCCCCCTTCACTGTGAAGTTCCAAGAATCCCCTCTCATGAAGGCCCCATTCACGCAGCGAGCTGCTGCCAGCACTCCACTGCATCCTGCGGGATGGGAGCAGAGCGTCCCTCCCGCAGCCATGCGCCTGCCTTCAGCAGGTGCAGCGTTCTGGATCCTTTGCTGCAACAAATGTGGCTTCAATAGAGCAATAATGGTGAGGGGATCATGTCTACAGGTCTTTTCCCCTTACAAAATCCATTCTCTAGCACTCAGAAGTACAGCTAAGTTTCATTTCTCATGAGCATAACGTAAGCCTAAGCATTAGATTCAACCAGCTGGAACGTACTGGGGATCAACTGTAAAGCAGCAGGGAAAAAAAGACTGCTCATTTTTTTTTATCTCTCCTGGTAGATGCTATTGCAACTAGGGAAAGCCGTGCCTTCTGAAATTCAAGAAAGCTCACGTCAACTAAAGGAAGGCTGTGAGGAAATTTTTTAAAAAATACTTAAATTTTATGGAAAATGTAATAATATTTTTTACAAGTTTATAACTGTTTAACTTCAAGAACTAGCTAACATATGGAATATAAAACTGCAGAGATCCAACCACCTGATCTTTTCATTTAAGACAGGCTGATGAGAAGCACATTCAGAGATGTTAAAGAACTACAAGAAGCAAAATCAAGAAGGAATTAAAATAATACTGCTCATCTTTTTTAACAAACAAAAACCAAAGACCCAAGCTACCGCACTTACAGAAAACAGATTTTTCTTCCTCTCTTAAAAAACCCAGAAAGACAGAAGTTCACCTAATATTTTAGATTACCTGTTTAAGGTTGCTTATAGTCAATGCAAAATGTTTAGCTGTAAATCACACTATTTAGAACAGTCTACCCTATTCCACAGAAAGTGAAACCACACGCGTTGTGACAAACCTGGCTAAAGCAAATTAAGACCTACCACCACTGCTGGTTTTTCTTCTATTTCATAACAAAGTGGAAGTAAACAAACCACACTTCAGCCTCTCCAATGCACTCAGGCCTATTAATTTGGAATATTCATGGAAGGTAAACATGAATAAAAACCACAGGCAAACCTCAACCCCAAGCCACTCCACAGGAAGGAAATAACCCCTCGCAGCCCAAACCAAGGACAACCAAGAAGCAGTAACACCTTAAAAAGCCACCACAGCTCGCGTCCTGAATACAAGACACAGCGGTCACTCATTGCACCTCAGCATTGTCAGCACACAGCCTGGAGCCTTGGAGAACTCCAAGAACTTCTATTTTAGTACACCAGAGACAAATAAGAAAAATAGATTTCCATCAGGAGAATTATTGCATCCAGCAGTTCCACTACAAAAAAGATATTAAGGAGGACTAAGGACAAACCTGCAGTATTTGCTATTCAGACCCCTGGCCCCAGTGATTCCTATGCTATTTTTAAAGCTAGAAAGGAATTTCTGAAAATCCCACCTGACAGAATGAAATTCTGATCATTGAAAGATAAGTAAAGAAATCCTGCTCCCCAATCCCATCGTGGGAACTGCAGCTGTAGCTGGTAGTGTAAAAAATTAAAATAAAAAAAAATTACTTACGTGCTGGAAATCCTCTTAGATGGGAGTTCTGATGGAGCTGCTTCTGTTTCTTCATGTTTAGATATCCAAGGTGCCAGAGGTGAAACTTGTGGTTCTGCCAACAAACCAAAACATTTCCTTTCTCCAACTCAATCCAGCAAGAACGCAAAAATGCAGTGGTGTCAAATACACCCCACATTCTGTAACTTACATTTATTAACAGGTTAAAACAAAGACCTGGTGAAAACTGTTGGGGTTCTGCTCCTAGGAAGGCTGGCACACACAGTGACAAAGCCAACAACGACAAACGGCCACATCAGGGTCCCACGTACTGCAGGAGAGCTGAAGTGAAGTTTGCAACAGCCTGTGCCTCTACAATTTACATACGAACCTGCAGCTAAAGGCAGCACTAGGACTACATGCTTGCTCACAACACGAAGACTAAGGGAAGAATATTTTCAAGAATATGATTTCATCAATACAAAATCACCTCACTCAGCAGCCCCAGCAGCACTTCCTCGTTTACCTGAATCAGTCATATAACGGTCTGTATTTCTGTTCTGCACAACAGGGTGTGAATAACAGGCTACAAAAGAACATCTCCTGTTCTCAACTGCATCAAAACACTGTCCTTCTGTTCTCTGCTTCCCTGAAAAAGGATACCTACGGGTCCGGATGATTCTCTTGAGCATGAGCCGTGGTGTGTCGTTGTCAAGATCAGGCAACAGATGTCTCTGCTTAGGCACCGTGCTTCTGACAGAATGGTTCTTCTTTCCTGAATCAGGTACAGTCTAAAGAGAGAAATCAGAGACATGCAATTCAAAAATCCTATTTTCATCACTGAAGATGAATCTCAGTATCAAAAGCATTCATTATCTGCCTTCTAATAGACACCTGAACTAGCTAAAAGGGAGCATTTCCCAAATCCCCAAAAAGAAATCCCCCCCAGGTGCTTTTAACAGCGCTGGTGCCTCTCTGTCGGGATGAAGACAGCTCAGAGCGGTGCGTCACCGAGGATCGCGACACAGCCCTCCCCGGGGACACCCGGCCGCGGGGCTCCAACGCGCGGCCCAGGCCCTCGGTCCCGCACAGCCCCGAAAACCAC